CTCCCCCTCCTTGCTTTTGCTCTCCGCATGTGTCTGTTTCGGCAAACCCCTCACACGTTTCGTGGCCCCATAAAAGGGGATTCCACCTAAGGTCCCAGTGGCGCAGCCCCCATTGCGGCGCCGCCCCATTTTGACACACCCCTCACACGTTCCGTGGCCCCATATAGAATTCCACCTGAAGTCCCAGTGGCGCAGCCCGCATGGCGGCGCCGCTCCATTTTGGTACGCCCCTCACACGTTTCGTGGCCCCATACGGAGCTCCATCTAAGGTCCCAGTGGCGCAGCCCGCATGGCGCCGCCGCTCCATTTTGGCACACCCCTCACGCGTTTCGTGGCCCCATAGGGAGCTCCATCTAAGGTCCCAGTGGCGCGGCCCGCATGGCGGCGCCGCCCCGTTTTGGCACAACCATCACACGTTTCATGGCCCCATAGGGAGCCCCATCTAGGGACCCAGTGGCGCAGGCCGCATGGCGGTGCCGCCCCATTCTGGCACACCCCTCACACTTGTTGTGGCCCCATAGGGAACTCCATCTAAATCCCCAGCGGCGCTGCCCGCATGGCGGCGCCGCCGTATTTTGGCACGCCCCTCACACGCTGCGTGGCCTCATTACACGTTTTGGGAACCTTCTCTCCGTTTCGTGGACTCACGCCCTGGGCCGTCGGCTGTCCAGCGCGCTGCCTCCTCGGCCGACGTCGCCCAGGCGTGATCCTGGACTGCGGCCGCCACGAGGTGGGGAACGGCAGGAAGGAGGACGACGACTGGCGGCTGGAGCTCTGCGTGCTGCTCTCGCGCGCCACGCGCCACGAGGACCTGCTCGCGCGGGCGCCGCGCATCGAGTTCTTCCCGGCAGGGCTGCTGGAGGGATTGCGGAAGCAGCTGCGGAAGCAGCTGGAGCAGTTTGCTACGCGCACGAAGCGGCGCAGGACGGAGGCAACGGCCCTCGCCAGGGAGTTGGGCTTCACCGAGTTTATCCGCGAGGCTTGACTTGAACAGCGACCCGCCCGAACCTTGCCGTCTCTCGACGGTCTGACTGTTTGGCTTCGCGCCGCGGGCAACCCGCGCGCGTCGCTGGGGCCATCTCGGGGCGACTGGCGCGCGTCGCGGGAATTACGCGCTGCGCTCTGCCCAGAGCCTCGCTCGTCCCCGTCGTCTCTCTGCCCTGCGGCCGCAGCCTTGCCCGCTATCAGCCAGCCAGCTCTCTCTGCCCCGCGCAGCGGACGACCCGCGCGCGTCGGCGGGGCCCCTTCGGGGCGACCAGCGCGCGTCGCGGGGGCCCCATGCGGCGCCGCGCCCGCAGCCTCGGTCGCGGGCGCGCGCTGGCAGAGAGAGGGAGAGAGAGAGAGAGAGAGAGAGAGAGAGAGAGAGAGAGAGAGAGAGAGAGAGGAGAGAGAAGAGAGAGAGAGAGAGAGAGAGAGAGAGGAGAGAGAGAGAGAGAGAGAGAGAGAGAGAGACAGAGAGAGAGAGAGAGAGAGAGAGAGAGAGAGAGAAACAAAAAAAAGTGAAAAGGGGAAGAGAAAGAGAAAACATAAGAAAGAGAAAGAGAGAGAGAGAGAGAGAGAGAGAGAGAGAGAGAGAGAGAGAGAGAGGAGAGAGAGAGAGAGGAGAAGAGAGAGATATAATACATATACTTAGAAAGATAAAGAGACATATACAGAGAGAAAGAGAACGATATATGCCTGTCAAGAGGAAGAAGATAGAGAGAGAGATAGAGAGAGAGAGAGAGAGAGAGAGAGGAGAGAGAGAGAGAGAGAGAAGAGAGAGAGAGAGAGAGAGAGAGAGAGAGAGAGAGAGAGAGAGAGAGAGAGAGAGAGAGAGAGAGAGAGAGAGAGAGAGAGAGAGAGAGAGAGAGAGAGAGAGAGAGAGAGAGAGAGAGAGAGAGAGAGAGACACACAATCAGACTCACTCGCGCTCAGTCTCTCGCGCGCCGACCTATCGTCTTCGCTCGCGTCGCGTGCCCCGCCGCGCATCTCGGCGCGCCCCCCGCTCGGTTCGTGGCCCCGCAGGGGGCGCGGGCAGGGGTGAGATTCAGAATTGCGGTATTCGCAAGTGCGCGCGGTTGGGTCCTCTGCCCGGATAATTTGCCGTCGCTGATGTTGCGCGGGCGCGCCTGCTTGGCGCGCCGGCGCACCGGGCGGGCCCGCGATTCCGCGCCCGCGATTTCGCCCGCGATTTCGGCAGCGATTTTGGAGACGATTTTGCCCGCGACTGCGGGCGCGATTTTGCCCGCGATTCTCGGCGCGATTCCGCGCCTCTTGGCGGGGCCCCGCGAAGCCACCCACGATTTAGAACGATATTTTTTATGATTTAATCGCAAGACAAATCGCGGTCAAAAAGTGCCTCCGCGGAAGGGGCATAAAAAACGCGCAAAACCGGGGCCAAAAAAAGTGCCCCAAATCGCGGTCAAACTGGGGGGAGAGCAGGGCGCCGCGGAAAGGCGGCGGGGGGTCGGGGAGGAGGCCGGGGGCTCCCCTGGGGACCCCCGCTCGGTCGGAGAGGTCCCCTTCTCGGCGGGCTGCGCTGCCTCGCGCGGCGGGTTCGCGATTGCGCCGCTGCGCCCGCGGCCGGCCGTTGAGGCTTCGAAACCGACGTTTGCCGTCGGGCCCCTCTCCGCCGCCAGCGCAGCCGCGCGCCGTGGCCCCCGGGGGAGAGTGCCGGGGCCTCGCCGCGGTTGCGGCGGAGTCTGCGCCAGCGGCCCCCGCGCCCGGAGTGGGCCCACGAGGGCTACTTTCCAGACGCGGACTTTGGTCAACTTGCGCTGGCATGAGACCCAACCGCCACCGGAGCCCCGCCACTTCCCTACGTGGCGCTCGCGCTCGAGCGTTCCTTCTTCGCGCGGGGCCTCCAAAGTGGCCCTTTCTTGCGGTCCGTCGGTCCCGCGCCAGCGCGTTCCATCATGAATCAGATTGGGAGGTGTTTCTCTCGCGCAAGCTATCGGCCGCGCGGCCGGGGCAGCACCCGGCCTTTCGACGGCTGTGCGCGCGCGCCGATTCCGCCTGCGCTTCGACTACGGCTCGCGCCCAAATTCGCGCGGACGCTACGCCCGACGATTGCGGAATGAAGCGTCATCGCGGCGATGAGTGTCATGGCGGTCACGCGGCGGCCTGGCCTGGGGGCCGCGTTGGCCGCGCCTCCGCGGCTCGCCCAGCGTGATTCAATGGCGGGAGTTGGCGGCGCGCGGCGATTCGATGGCGCGCGGGCGTTCCGCGATGATTCCCCGCGGTCCAGCTTGAGGAAAGCAACGTGTTGGATTTTTTCCATGTTGAAATCGTCGCGGCTCCTTGGAGGGTGGCTTTGCTTGGCAAGCGTTGCGCCAATCCGTTGTCCTGCCCACGCGCCGGGCGGCGTATGGCTAGTGAGTCATATGCTAGTGTCGGGCAGACACAACCCGCCTGAAAATCCACAGATCACCTTGCCATCCCCTTGGCAGGCCCAGCGCCGGTTCCAGAGGGTCCACCCTGAGCGTGGCGACGAGAAGCTTCGGTGGCCTTCTCCTCCTCGTCCTCCTTGGTAGTTTTTCGCCCGGATCCATTTCTGATGGTCCCAGACCAGGGGCATCGAAGAACGTCGCCGGTTGAATAATAGCACGCGTCGGATGGCGCTAGGACGAGGATCAGCTTCATCCAGAGTGTCCTGGAACGTTTTCAGAGCCTTCTGGAACGTTTTGAAAAGTCCGCGGCGCCCGAGACATTTTCTGGGGCCTTTGGCTTTCAGGTGATCTTTTTCTTATTCGTTTTTGTTGCCGATCGGCGCGGGCCCTCGCGCCCCCATTCCCCCGCCCCACGGAGTAGATCTTGTCAGTTTTTGGCACCTGTTTCGAGCAGGTGGGGTCTCCCCTAACGGACGCACTGCTGCAAACCGTGGCGTGAAGCAGGGGTCCAGAGCCATATCCCCCCCCTCCGCCTAGAGCCGAAGCGCCGAGTAATGAAGATAACGCTTACAACCAGAGGTTTTCGATTCTCCTTCGCACGATTTGATCCTTGTCGGGGCCTCGTCTTAGCATTCGGTCGGGCGTGTGCCCCCACAGGCGGGTTTTGGGCGACAAATAATACAATGCAAACTATGCAATACGATAGCCCAAACATGCCCCCAAACATCGTGCCCTGTTTTTTTGGTTTTCGCAATCTTTGAATATTCCCTCTGTGACGGGACACGCCCGACATCGTCTCAGTAACCTCATGCCCGTGAAAATAAACACTAGGGGATAATAAAGTTCGGGGTTCAGGGAGAGATAATAAAAGTAACCCAGCAGACCTCAGCATAATCTCGAGGTAAGAGATGATCAAGAGGAGACCAAGCCGAGCACGTTTTGAGACATCCTTGGCGTTTAGTTCTCATATAAATATCCTCAACAATGGCTGGTGCTTAGCTTAGTTTTTGTAAGTGCTCGTGTAGGGTAGCTCATGTGCCTCAATTTCCATGGGTAATCAACCCCAGATATTTAAAACAAAAAAAAAAATCAGGCGAGCGTGGGGACAGAGATAAATATAAAAGAAGAAGAATACAGTATAATAGTAATCAGAAAGAAGAAGAGGATCATAAGAAGAGGACGAAGAACGGAAAAATCCAAAGTTCCAAATCTATCAATTTTGATTTACAAACGCTTTATGAACATTTATTTTTTGCTTCATTTTCCATGGATAATCAACCCCAGGGATAAAAAAAAGTTCAGGCGAGCGTGAGGACATATAGAAATATAAAAGAAGAAGAGGAACTTATAATAATAAGAAGAAGAGAAGAATAAGAGAATACTAAGAAGAGCAGTTGATGTTGCTATCTCAACATAGCGTTTCGAGGTGATAATGAAGTTCGGCCTCAGCGCTCGCCGCCCAATTTGAATTTTGTATAGGGCGACGATAATCAACTCTAAACACTGAAGGGGGGGGGTCCCTTTATTATCATCGGCATGCGGTTATGTGGTTTGAGACGTATGTGGTTTGAGACGTGGGGCATCGCAAGAGGCATCACGTGGCGGCAGTGGAAATGCCCGGGCGGCGCGCAGGGCGCCGCGACCCCGGGCGCGGCCGGGGCTTGCGAGGAGGCTGCCGCTGCCGAGGCGCAAGGGGGGGGGAGGGGTTGACCCCAAAAGGGGGTTCCAACGACCTTACTGGGCCCTGGAAGCGGCAAGACCGTTTTTTCACCATTTCCGAAAATGTGTTTCTTGAAAGTGGAAGCGGCAAAAAAAGGGGGGCGACCGGAAACGGCAACAAAAACGGTTCCCTGATTGGAGCCGGAGCGGGAACCCGTAAAAGAACGGCGACGGAACCGGTAAAAACATGGCGTCGGAACCGGCCAAAAAATTGCAAAACGGAACCGGTCAAAAAAAATTCCCTGTCGTTTCCAGGGCCCACTAAGCCAAGGACAAGGAGGTGGTGCCGCATATTTGGTGCCATATGCTTGCGGGGTTGCAGTACACTTGGGGCGCGCAATACATTCCAGGGCGCAAGTGTATTGCTGGGTTGTTGCGTGCCATACATTACTCGCAATACGATGCAGTACGATTCTCCGGCGCAATATATTTGCAAGACAATTGCCCCAAATCTATTGCACCACCCCCTTTTCAGCTGGACCCCCTTTTGGGTCACCCAAAAGGGATGGGAGAAAACGTGCAGGAGAAATGATGGGTCTATTTGGCACCACCTCTACCATAGGTAGAACGGGGGAGGAGGGAGGATAGGGAGGTTCTCCTCCTCCTCCTCCTCCTCCTCCTCCTCGTCCTCCTCCAACCTCTCCTAGCTGTGGTAGTTGTGATGCAAAATCGGCCCATTTAAAAACGTGATGTTGCGTACCTCGTCGAAGGTGAGACACATACACAACATGTATGTACACCTGTTAACATGTCACGTGTGTTTCGTAGACTCGACGAAAAATCAACGCCTGGCGGCCATTCCGTAATTCCGGGGAGGTTGTTGGAGGAGGGAAAGGTACCCATAGCGCTTCCCTTCCCTCGTGTTCTCCTTTTTTGGCCTCCTGGGAGGCCCTCGTCGACACCGCTGGATTCGCCTCGAATTTTTTGTCAGAACCCGCCTTGGGAAAGTTTCAGGGAGTAGCGGTATCGGTTGAGCGTTTTCCAAGGTTGCCCTTGCATTCTTGCCCCTTCGGCCCACCTTTGTAACTGTCGATGGTTATCCCCGATAAAAAAAAAATAACATAGCATATCAAGGCCCTTGCATCCTCATTATGCGTTTTGACCGTAAGAGGAGCTACTGTGTCTTGTGGAGAGCATTTCCCTAACCAGGGGTGGTCGAGGGGGTTTGGCTGGGAGGGGTGTTCGGGGTTGGCCAGAGGGTCGGTCTGGGTAATCTTTGTATCGACAGTTCTTTCCAGGGCATAGGGCAGCGCTGACACTTTTTCCCTAAAGGGCCCGTAAACGAAGGAGACATCGACACGAACAACAACTCCGGAGGTCCGCGCGGATCTCTAGGATCGGCGCTGGACCCCCCACTGGCGTCTCCACGCGAAAGGGAGCGGGGACCAGTGCCGATCCACGATACCTGCGCAGACCTCAAACATACTAGTTCTGACTATTCTGATTGTTGTTGTTGTTGTTGGTGTTGTTGTTGTTGTTGTTGTTGTTGTTGTTGTTGTTGTTGTTGTTGTTGTTGTTGTTGATGATTTTGACTAAGCAATTATTATTGTTGGACCCCCCCCAGGCGCTTTGACGCTTTCGCCTCGGCGCCAGCTACGTTTTCATTGAACATGAGGCTCCCGCTCAAGCGGTTGAGGGGGCGTCAAAACCGGCCCCCCAACAACAACAACAACAACAACAACAACAACAACAACGCTCCTGCTCGAGACGTTTTCCCTTTTTGCTCAGGGCCGGTGCTCTTGCTCGCCGCCGACAGTCGCCGTCCCAACAAACCCAGCGCTACCGCTCGAGACCTCCGCCAGTTTTTCCTTGGATTGGCGCGCTACTCTGTTTCTCATCGGCGCCGCCCCCTGCAACAGCAACGTTCCCGCTCGAGGCCTCCTCTTCTTTTTACTTAAGGCGGTGCTCCTCCTCGCCGCCGACAACCGCCGTCCCGACAAAACCAGCGCTCCCGCTTGAGACTTCCTCTCGTTTTACGCTGGGTTACTCTCTTTTGAATTGGCGCTGTTCCCAGCAAGAACAACGCTCAAGCTCGAGGCTTCCTCCCTTTTTCCTCGGGACGGTGCTGTTCCTCGCCGCCGACAGCCCCCGTCCCGACAAAACCACTGTTCCCGCTCGAGACTTCCTCCCTTCTTACTCAAGGCGGTGTTCCTCCTCGCCGCCAACAACCGCCGTGCCAACAAAACCAGCGTTCCCGCTCGAAACTTCGTTGTTCTACGCTGGACTAGCGCCCTACTCTCTTCAGCATTGGCGCCGCTCCCAGCAACAACAGCGGCCCTGCTCGAGACTTCCTCCCTTTCTATTCAGGGCCAGGTCCTTGCCTCGCCGCCTACAGCCCCCATCCCCACAACGGCAATCCTGTCGCTAGACACCTCCTTGTGCTTTACCATTGGCTGGGGTTCCACTGGCTGTCTCGGGTCGGCGCAGCAAGGCGCGGGCATGCGTTTTCGAAGCGGGATTTGTTGAAACTCCTAGGAGGAGGTGTTTGCAAGACCTCATTGGGCGGGAGATTTGGGAATGGGAACAACGGACCCCGCTATAGAGCAATCGTCCCCCATGATTGTTATCGTGATGGTCGCATGCTCCGTGTGGAAATATCGCGCATGAGGGTAAAATGATCGTTGTTGTTGTTGGTGTTGTTGTTCTTGTTGGAAAAGGCGCGCGTGAGAGCCCCGTGAGCTCTAGCCGTCCGGACCCGCCCTCGCCTTATTGCGAAGGCTGCGCTCAGAGCCCCGTGGACGCATTCTGACCCCCCCCCCCAGCGATAGCAACCAGCTACCAAAACAAAAAATAAAAGTCCTGGAACACGCTTGGACTCCCTTACGGACCTTGACGTGGTCCTATGAGTGAAAAACGTATGCGCGCCGGCGTGCCGCCACTTCAATACAGATCCGATACATACTGTATGGGATCCTGTAGAGATCCGACACAGACTGTATGGGATCCTGTAGACATCCGATACAGACTGTATAGGATCCGATACAGATCCGATACAGACTGTATGGGATCCTGTAGAGATCCGATACGTATGGGATCCTATACAGATCCGATACAGATTGTATGGGATCCTGTTGAGATCCGATACAGACTGTATGGGATCCTGTAGACATCCGATACAGACTGTATAGGACCTTGTACAGATCCGATACAGACTGTATAGGATCCTGTAGAGATCCGATACAGGCTGTATGGGATCCCATACAGATCCGATACAGACTGTATGGGTTCCTCCAGAGATCCGATACAGATTGTATAGGATCCTACACAGATCCGATGCAGACTGACTGGAATCCTGTAGAGATTCGATAGTGACTGTATGCGATCCTGTAGAGATCCGATACAGATTGTATGGCATCCTGTCGAGATCCGATACAGACTGTATGGGATCTTGTAGAGATCCGATACAGGGTGTATGGGTTCCTGTAGAGATCCGATACAGACTGTATGGGATCTTATACAGATCCGATACAGAATGTCTGGGATCCTGTAGAGATCCGATACAGACTGTATGGGATCCTGTAGAGATCCGATACAGACTGTATAGGATCCTACACAGATCCGATACAGACTGTATGGGATCCTGTAGAGATCCGATACAGACTGTATGGGATACTATACAGATCCGGTACAGACTGTATAGGATCCCGCGCAGATCCGATACAGATTGTGTAGGTTCCTTCATAGATCCGATACAGACTGTATAGGACCCTATACAGACCCGATACAGACTGTATAGGATCGTGTACATATCCGATACAGACGGTATAGGATTTATACAGATCCGAAACAGACTGTATAGGATCCTACATAGATCCGATACAGACTGTACAGGATCCTACACATATCCGATACAGACTGTATCGGATCCTACAATATTCGATACAGACTGTATCGGATCCTATACAGATCCGGTACAGACTGTATCGGATCCTACACAGATCCGGTACAGACTGTATAGGATTCTATACAGATCCGATACAGACTGTGTAGGATCCTATACAGATCCGAAATAGACTGTATAGGATCCCATACGGATCCGATACATGTTGTATAGGGTCCGATACAGACTGTGTAGGGTCCTACACAGATCCGATACAGACTGCAGAGGATCCTACACAGATCCTACACAGATCCGTATACAGATCGTGGCCTGCCGTCGGGGAACCCCGCCGAAGGCCACAGCGGCTGCGCCCATTTCGGCACACCCTTCACGAGGATCGTGGCCCCCAATCGGGTACCTCCGCCGAAATCTCAAGCGGCTGCGCCCATTTCGGCACTTCCCTCACGTGGACCGTGGCCCGCCATCGGGGAGCTCCGCCGAAGGCGTCAGCGGCTGCGCCCATTTCGGCACACTCCTCACGTGGATCGTGGCCCCCCCTCGGAGAGCTCCGCCGAAGGCCCCAGCGGCTGCGCCCATTTCGGCACACCCCTCGCGTGGATCGTGACCCCCAATCGGGGAGCTCCGCCGAAGGCCCCAGCGGCTGCGCCCATTTCGGCACACCCCTCACGAGGATCGGGCCCCCCCTCGGGGAGCTCCGGCGAAGGCCCCAGCGGCTGCGCCAATTTCGGTCAATAAGGGCTACAGAGTTCCGATGGAGGCTTTCAGGATTCAGATAGAGGTCTATAGAATTCCTATGGAGGCGTATAGAATTCCGATGGAGGCCTATACAGAAGTCGTATGGAGGGCTTGAAATTCCGGTAGAGGCTTATAGAATTCCTATGGAGGGGTATAGAATTCCGATGGGGGCCTATAGGACTCGTATGGAGGCTTATAGAATTCCTATGGGGGCCTATAGAGTTCCGATGGAGGCCTATAGAGTTCCGATGGAGGCCTATATAAAATTCGTATGGAGGGCTATAAAATTCCGATGGAGGCCTAGATGGAATCCCCATGGAGGCTTTTAGAATTCCTAGGGGGCCTATAGAATTCCTATGGACGCCTATAACATGTGTATGGGTGCCTATAG